GTATTGTCTGTCTTGTCTTAATGTTGGTTTATAATGGAGCACTGTAACAAAAAATAATTTCCCCCAGGGATCAATAAAGTATTCTGATTCTGATTTTATATGCAATGACGCAGCTTTAAAAAAAATGGAATCAAACATTAGGAATAAATTGCTGATAGTTTTGTTGTTCCCAGAATAATTTTAAGTGCACATTTGATTGTTTTCCTTGATGTTTTACGTGTGGATCTCGAGGGGGGTTTCATTTTCTCCATACTAGCACACATCTAGCCCACTACACAATAATCCCGAGTCGTGTTATGCCTTGCAGCTCATGTTGTGGGTATAATTGAATAAAAGGGTGCATGTACTTCACCTAATTCCTCCTCTGCAGATCAGTCTCTCTCCCTCTCCCTCAGCAGAGCATGCCATTAAATCAGAGCTCACCATCCTGCCCCACCACACACTTGATCACATGGAAACTGTTTACATAAACAAAGCGTCTCATTTAGATACCATTCCTCACTACAGCTGCCAACATCTCCACTTCTGACACACCCTCCTTAAATCCAGTAAACTCTGCAGACCTTTCCTGTCTTGCCGTTTGGCTCTGTGTCATTAGGGTCACTGTGACAAAAGATGAGTCAGACGCTGTGGAGACGCCTAACTTCCTGTGAGTGTGGAGCATCTCAGACTGTGACCGAACAAATGACTGAACTACCTTGGAGCAATTCCTCCCAAAAGAATGATTCATAGTCAGCAGGATCAAATTCTCATTCGGAGCAATGCAGAGTCAGACGTATCTGTGGTTTTTGTAGGATTCATTTAAAAAGTCTCCAAACTGACTCAAAGAGAAACACATACAGCTTCTACGTTGTCAAGCAGGTTAAAAAAAAGCAAAAAGCTACCACAATAAATAGTTCTGCATCCTTTTTTGGGCCCTTAAAATCCCATGACATGCCAAGCGAAATCAAGTATGTTTATAAAGAGCTCCAAAATGGATTACACGGGCATCATGATTTGTTTTAGTTCTCTAAACCCATTTATTTTTTTCTACAGAAAATATCAAAATATCAACAAGCCACAGGCTTCTGCTGCGGAGTCCAAAAACTGAGGAATTCTGCCAAAAATCATTGCCGACTGTTCAAGACATACATGCACAGACAGTGACTCATCCATGCAGACATGCACATGTGCACACACGGTTGCATGTACAAAACATGCATAGCCAGAAGCACATGTTACATTACTTACATCAGTTTTTCTAAACTTGGCTTTGAGGCTCTTCATGTTCAGTCCGACCCATGCAGTCGCTCACTCAATCGCTCAGTCGAGACTGCGAAGAAGAAGGGAGGGGAAAAAAAGCCACACAGATGTTTAAACTTAGCCTCTGTGATGTTAGTTCCCATTTTAAATGTGACTCAGTGTTTCTGAAGACTTGATTTTTGGGCTTTTTGTAACATTATATTCGCATAGGTTAGCCTTGGTGAGCTGTAAACACAGAGCACAGAAGCAGAGACAAAAAGTAGTCTGTAAAAACTAAAGAGCAGTGTTTGCTAAAGCCTCATCAATGAGTTGTAGTGTAGCGCTAAGGGACAAGACAAAAAAAAAAAAAAAAGAGTCCTACATTTGTTATATGTCAGAAGCACTTTTTCATTTAATTTCTCCTCTTTTATAGTACCACATGCAATTCTCTTTTAAACCTGTTGCTGATTACGATGCCTCGCTTTCTATCGTTTCCTACAAGGATGTTATAAATCACAGCAGAACCCTTGGGGATGTCTGGCGACTGTATTTTTGCAGCCTGACTGCCTCAAGTAATTTTCAGTTCCTCAAGTCTGAAATGACCTTGTCAGTGATTTAACCCCCAAATATCCTTTGGCACATTCCTGCCGAAATTGGGCATCTAACTTACTTCATTATTTCCAAGGTCTGCTTGTATTACAACTCAGAGCACAGTGTAAGCAATTTGAGATTCTTTGCAAACATTACTGGCAGTCTGGGGTGCAGGAATAAACATATTTTAAATGTGTAGAAAGCACAGAAGCATAAGTTAAAATCTGATTAACTCTTTCTAAGTCTTATTAGAGAAGTGGGAGGGTGCAAAATAACCCTTGCAATATCTAGCCAACATTCAAGCTATTTGCCAACCGCATTCATAAGGCAACCTTGATCCTGCTTTGCGTACAATGAAACTGGCGTGTGCTGTTATAATTTCTATGCAGAAAGCACGGGAGTAGAATAAAAAAATAATTGTCCAGGATGTCCCGCTGAAAAGCAAACTTCACTACTGACTGCTGTCAACAAGCATCTCTGACCCGAGCGTCTCAAGCAACTAACCTTTGCATATTTGCCTCACTGCACATCAAACAGCCACATTTCTTTTTTCTTCTTCTTCTTTTTTTTTGTACACGGATATTATGGATACGCGGAGAGACACGGTTAAAGCTTGGATATCAGATTGGACTTACACGAGAGCGGTGCTCCGTTTAAATTCACCAACGGGACTCACACAGAGTTCAACTCTTAAGCATCATTTCGACCTAAACTGCTTACATGATGTGAAATTACCGGACACACTTACCCTAGTCCTTGTGCCGAGAGTCGCGGGGAGCGCGAGACACATAAAAGAAGAGACAAGCGCTTTTTAAAAATAGCTAAAACCAGATTAGCCGCTGAACAAGTGTGAACACAGCGAGTCTTTGTGGAGCTATGTCGACCAGGAGGGAGCATACGGAAGGCGAAACCGGCGCGACCCTTCACGGCGGCTCTCCTCGGCCCGCATTCATTAAAAGTTGAGCTGTTGGTGGACTCCTGCTCGTCTCTGGTTTGGGACTCAACTCAACGGCCGCTGCCCGGTTTAGGAAAGTGACGTCACTCCCCTGGAGCTCTCGTGACCGCGGCGAGCGAGCCCTGTTCTGTTCTCTATTGTACCCCCCATTCATGTTGTGGTTAAAGGGGCATTTCCCACAAAACCCCACCGGAGGGGTGCACATTTGAGAACATTTGGACCCTCGCCCACTGAACACGCGTTTTCATGCATTAAACTTCTGCTTCAGCTATTAATTCAACTACATAATAATAATATTAATGCAAAAAAATATGTCTCGAGCTTTTATAGTGATATTACACTTGAAAAACACTTTAGGGTTACAATTGATTTATTTGTTAAAACAAAATAAAATAAAATGTATTTTGAACAATTACAGCTTCCTTTGCCATCAGTGCCACAGGCAGGTATCATGCGTAAGAGCTGTGCTTTTATCAGGTCAAAAATATGTTTTGGTTTTTTGACATTTAAAATGGTGTAATTATATAAAACTATCAAATATATTATAAACATGACATATCATGTTTTTGCTTAAGCATTTATACAACATGTCTCATTTCTTCCATTCACACACACATTCACTCTCTTCTACATCTATGTGCTTTCACATTCCAATGAATGCATCAGAGGCAAGTCAAGGTTAGGTATCTTGCCCAAGGACACTTTGGCATGCAGATTGGAGCACCCAGGGACTGAACCTCCAACCTTCTAACTACAGGTTACCACCTCAATCTCCTGAGCCACAGCGACAAATGTTTTATGTATGTATGTAAGCTAAATGTTGTAAAATAATGGTCCCCTGGAGATGTGCCACTGATGTTACATTCTAAGAAAAGTCTATTATTTAGAAAGGACACATCACAGTGATGAAACCCTATGAAGCTTTCCTGAAACTCGAAAAGCATTGTTTATGGTAAGTCCAGTGTCTCTTTTCTTTTTCTTTTGTTTCTCTTTTTTTTTTTTGGAACATAACTCAGGAAATTTACTCAAATGCTTTAAGGGGATGTGCTTTATTTAAGTAATTCTATGTAATGTTTCACTATATTTTAGATGCAAATGTTGTACTTTGTACTGATACCAATTATCTTTAAGCTTTAACTGCTAATAGTTTGCAAATGTTAAAGCATCCATTCATTTTCATCCAATTATCCAATTCGGGGTTGAACCGCAAAACAGATGAGCCTATCTCAGCTGTCTTGGTTTGAGAGATGGGGTACACCCTTGGTGGGTCTCCAGTCTATTGCAGGACTAAAACATTTTTTGGTCACTTAGGTTGGCCGACAAGCTTTATTTAAGGGAGCTACTTACTGAATAAAAATAATTTTGAAACTCTGTCATTTTCACTGTACAAGGAAAAAGGGCTGTGCACTAGCCTAAAACCCATACCCAGTGGGTTTTATTTTACACCAATTATTGTACACTGATTAAATAGTCTAATTTCTTGTGGAAACCCTCTGTCTGGTGTGCCACTCCTTTTAAGAAAAAAAAAAAAAAAGTCAACACACTTGAGTCTTACTCAGAAAGAAAAACATTGATGTATGGATAAATCCTGAGTAAAACCCAAAGATGATTACCAGACAGAAAAGCAACAGAAATAAAACTTTGATTGTATTTTATGTTGGATGGTGAAGATCAGCACAGCAGGACTTAATATATCATAACATTTCTACCCTAATATTATTCAACCTCCACAAATCTGGACTCTGCACTTCAGTGCCCCAAAGATTGTGAATGGGTGTTTGTTTAAGTTGTGCACAGGGTGTCACCTGGTCTCCAGGCTGTAAATTCAGTGTGCATCATCTCTGAAGTTGAGAAATGCTGCTAGCTGAACAAGTCATGTTGATGTTATGGGTCTATGTTGCAACAGGACTGCGCTGAAACGTAATAATACAGGTGTGAACCTGTCTGAGCTGTAAGGGTTTGACGTTTATGTCATTTGTTAAGATGTGATAATGTATGCTAGGATACAGTGGGGCAAAAAAGTATTTAGTCAGCCACCGATTGTGCAAGTTCCCCCACCTAAAATGATGACAGAGGTCAGTAATTTGCACCAGAGGTACA